TTCAATTAAAAAAATAAATTAAAAAGAGACTACTTCATTCAGTAAGCAGTTCTTAAGTACCTCTTAGACCCCAGCCACAGAGCCACAGGGAAACTACACCTGCCTGCTGGTTGGGTGAGTTTCACTGAAGAGTAGGAGAATCAGCTTGAAGCATAGAAAGCCAGTAAATCATTCAGACAACACAAACGGGACAGAGATAGGTCAGAGGCAAGATGGATTAGTCAAGTCTCTTTCAGTGAAAAGAAACAGAACCCCAATTTTCAAACACTAATCAGAAAAGGAACTTTAATGGAAGGGTACTGAGGCGTCCTCGGAGTCTGAGGAAGGGCAGCACTTCCCAGACGCCCACAGGGTCTCCATCGTTCATCTCTACTTGTCCTTGTCTCCTTCTCTCTTTCCAGAGTCAGATATGTTTTCCATAAACATGGCCAATCACAGCATGGCTCCTACCAGCTCTAGCAAAGTTCCACCCCATCATCCCTCATCATGCAAACAGCAGAACTTTAGTGTCCAAACACGCACATTAACTGTGCTTCTGTCACGGTGATTTTGGGTTCAATCAAATAAGTGTTCATACTCTTTGTAAAGGTGCCTTGATTTCTGTTGGACAGATTTTCTTTCTTAGAGATATAAAGGCATTTATAACATACCATGATTAAAACCATGCAGATAAAAATATGTGCAAGCAAAAGAGACTGGAGGGAAAGACTAAAATTCTAAATTATATTTAAAAGATGGATTTTTCTAGTGTCTTTTCTTCAAGTGTTTTGTAATATGACTATTTGAATAATGAAAAATTTTTATTTGTATATTTAAAAATTATTTTATATTTTTGTAAATGCTTAAAGTGTGTCTAATTCTAAGACATGACTAATGTAATCTATATTTTGGTGACTAAAAATAGCAATTTTTAAAACAATATCTTTTCTTTCTAAAACAATGGAAAAGATGTATCTTTTCCTATGTATAATAAAATAGAAAATCACTATTAATTGTGAATGTCTTAGGACATTGAGAACTTAAGGAAAATCAAGTTAATACTTTCACAATCTAATTTCAGTGATCACCAACAAAGGAGTATAACCTAATAGCTACAAAAAAACCCAGACTTGAATACGTGAAATAATCAGCATAACCACATACAAACACAAGTCAGGGGTTAAAATGCTGTTACAAAATTCTTTAAAAACTGTTCATTAGTCAAATATTTTTCAGCCTTAAAAAGGAAAGAAATTCTGACATACACTACAACATGGATGCACCTTGAGGACATGATGCTAAGTGAAATAAGTCAGTCACAAAAAGCAAATACCATATGATTCCACTTATATGAGGTACTGGAGTAGTAAATTCATAGAGACAGAAAGTAGAATGATGGTGGTCAGGGGCTGGCAGGAGGGGAAATGGGGAGTTACTGTTTAATGGGGACAGAGTTTCAGTTTTGCAAGACGGATAATTCTGGAGATGGATGGTGGTGATTGTTGCACCATGTAAACGTACTTAATACCCCACTGAACTGTATACTTAAAAATGGTTAAGATAGGGGAAAAAAAGTTTCCCTTAGAAAAACTGTTACTGATTAACTCTGAGAAAGGCAATAAATACTCCCCAAAGAGATTAAAGAATGAAATTTACAATGTTAATAATATTAATGATCACCTTGGATAATCCATATAAACAATTTTCCAGAGACAATTGTTACCAATTAGGAAAGCTAAAATACCCAGATAAGCAGGCCTTTCCCTGGCTTGTTCCATCAGATACAGAAGCAGCCTTAAGAGATGTATCTTTATGAAAATAGACTTGGTTACCTCCCATCTTGCAAGGGCCACCACCTGGAATTTCATTTCCTGAACTGACACACACCCCATTAAGTATCTGCCATGAGATTGCAAAACATACAAGAGGGCTTCCCTGGTGGCGCAGTGGTTGGGAATCTGCCTGCCGATGCAGAGGACACGGGTTCGAGCCCTGGTCTGGGAAGATCCCACATGCCGCGGAGCAACTAGGCCCGTGAGCCACAACTACTGAGCCTGCGCGTCTGGAGCCTGTGCTCCACAACGGGAGAGGCCGCGACAGTGAGAGGCCCATGCACCGCAATGAAGAGTGGCCCCCGCTCGCCACAACTGGAGAAAGCCCTCGCACAGAAACGAAGACCCCACACAGACAAAAATAAATAAATTTATTTTTTTAAAAAAACAAAACATACAAGAAACAAAAATCTTAGTCTTTGAACGTTTACGACAAATTCAGGTTGTTTGACTACATGTGTATTCAGATGGTCAAAAGTTAGCAAGTCCTATAGAGAACAGCCCAGTGGTTGCCAAGAGGGAGGGGTGGGGGAAGGATGGATTGGGCGTTTGGGATTAGCAGATGCAAAGTATTATATATAGGATGGGTAAACAACAAGGTCCTACTGCACAGCACAGAGAACTATATTCAATATCCTGTGATAAACCATAATGGAAAAGAATATGAAAAAGAATATATATATGTATAACTGAGTCACTCTGCTGTACAGCAGAAATTAACACAACATTGTAAATCACAAAATGGTAAAATACTTTAATTTTTTTTAAAGTTCTGAAAAAAAAAAAAAAAAGAGCAAGTCCTGGGGACAGCATGTAGATTCAAATAGAGGAAAGTCCTTCCAGAGAAGACGAGACCTGGGCTGGCTCTGGAGGAGGGAGAATGCAGCCTGGCAGGTGACAAGGAAGGGCCACGTGCCACCAGTTAAAAATAAATGACAGAGGAGCCCACACAAAGGCTAGGGAGGGACGAATGTGGAGAATGGCAAACCGACCGCCAAATTAAGGTCAAGGGCAGACATAAGGCAGGAGGGAGTGAGAGGAGGAATGGCCTGAGTGTGCAGGCGCAGGCCCAACTCTGAATTTAATAGAAGCCAGTGGTGGGAACGCACCTGGCTAGTTAGAGGGGGACAAAGCAGTGGTTGCAAAGCCGGTCAATGAAAAGCAAAGGTAGGTCCAGGAGAAACCAAAAGGTCTTTAGAAATGAGGGTTTCCCATTCTTGAACGCAAGCTACTTACAGATGTGTTTCAGTAGAAGCATGGCGAACACCGTATATACCAGTTATAAGGAATTTTCCATTCTGAAACTGCTCCCAGCTATTTTCATGGGTTCACATATGCAGGACCCATTTCTGAAACCAGGGCAGGCCACTGTCACGTTAAAATTCAGCATGCTGTACCACTGCCATTTACCATTCCCTGGAACAGGCCATGGCTGATGGACAGAAATGGGCTTTTCCACAGGAAGTTCCCAGGACCAAGTAAACCCACACTGGAGAACACCACGGGAGAAAACATGGCAGCCCTATATTTTAGCTCAGCAGTGTAAGTAGCTAAATTATTCTGCCTGCTTATTAATAGATCAATGTTAGTCCAACAGCTCCAACTTGCAGTGGAATTTTTGACAGTCTCTCCTGAAAACTGAATGTCAGGTTAATGGTTTTCTGCACAATACCTGTCCACAAATTCTGTGACTATTCACATTTGGTTTAGAGACATAAGTGAAGATTTTTCAAAATAGGGTAGGCAGTTTAAAGAGTATTAGCCTTACCTTTTAGCTAAATGCTACACATATGAGAATACCTAAACTCAGTGGAGGCAATATACATATTGGTGAGACTTTCCTCCTAAATGCTAGTTTTAGTAACTACTGTAACTATGGGGCAAAAGAGAAGATGACCTTAAATGAAAAGTAGGAGGTTAAAAAAAGATACTAACTTGGCTTTCAAGTTCTTAGTGGGACTAATTGCTTTGACTTAAAACGAATAGTTATAGAGATAGAAATAAGATAATCTAAGCACTCAAGTGGACATGAGAAGAATAAATGAGCAAAGAAAAGAAGGGAGGAGGAGGGAGGGAGACAGGCAGGGAGAGAAGAGGGGAGGGAGGGAGGGAAGGATGAAATTAGACCCCCTTGAACAAAGTATCACAACTTAATTATTTAATATTCTTACTTAGACAATTGAAAATCTTGTTTAACTCTTTAAGAAATAAAACTTCCATGGGTATACTGTGCAACCGTAGCTCAGGGACCATGCAATATTTACTCCTAGTCTGAAAAGTCTTTGTATTAATTCTTGATTAATAAAGACATAATACTCAAAAAACAGAGGGGCAGGTAACTGGACAGTGAGAGAGCTACACAGGTGCCTCATTTACAAATTGGCAACCCTCACAGAAGTTTAACAGTCCCAACATTTATTCTGCTTTTGAACTTTTAATTATAAGTTTCCAAGTCTGAAAGGTACTTTATTACCCCAAAATGGCATTTTCTGCCCCCTTGTGCATCTGTGTACCTATTCTACAACTGTTCTGAAGCAATCCTGTACTCTTAAATGTGGACCCCGTGATTTACCTATGAAGTTTTTCAGTCTCAATCCATGGCAACCCTTGCACTTATTTTTCCTAAAGACTCAAAGATGCGTTTCTGAGTTACGTAATACTGAACTTCATCCTTTTGTACAAATTAAACCAGGAGTCATAAAGCAGTAGGTAAATGAAAAACTGAGTTAAAAAACACACACACACACACACAAACAACTGACCAAATCTATAGCAGGCTCAGCTTTTTTTGAGAGAGAGATTAAGGTGCGTGCAGTGGACTGGTATGAAGGTCACCCAACAAAATGTTGCAATCTTAAAGTGCCATTGACATGCAGACCGTGTCCAGCAGCAGCCTGGAGCAATCCATGTGACTGTTTTCCTTTGCTCATTACTACTATCTCACCCCCAAATCATTCATACATGTACATGACAAGGGTATGTTACAGTTGCAGTAAAATATTTTAAAAGTTAGGAGAATTCTTCTCTTTAAATTGAAATAAAAATCCGTAATATAACTTTTTAAAAAGTTGCCCTCCCCATCTCCAGCTTTTGTTAGAGGAAAAGTGACCTGAAAGCTCAAAATCCCACCATTGGTTTTTGCACGATAGATATGGGCTTTGACAAATCCGTCTTTTCATGACTCATTACCTGCCTGCTGACAGTGTTGAAATCCCCAAATTGTTTCAGTTGGAAGTTTTCTGATTTTCACAGGAAAGAGCTGAAAGCCACAAGCCACCAATGCCCGTGTACCTTGAGCTTTCTGAGTCAATATGTCGGAAGGAAGCGCTCGTCGCAGGGCACCTCCATTCATCTCCCACCTGCTGCTGACCTGCAGTTTCCCTGTTGGCGGAGACAGCTCCTTGCAAAGCAAATAGCTCCCCTCTCTGCATGGAAAGGCTCATCTGCTCAGTCCATATTGCAAGCACGAAACTCCCTGAGAGCCATTTAGGGAGTGAATCAGACTCAGCCGATAAGCACAGAGCTGACCTTTAAACCCCAGGCTCTAATAGAGCATGAGGATATTTCACTCCGTGTTTGCTCAACAGTCCCAGGGTCACGAGGGTCTGCATTGACCGAGGTGGGGCGAACCCAGGAGCCTGGGCCCAGCTCCCGCATTGCACCTGATAGAACCCGATAGAATGGGGTAGGGGGCTGGGCTAGTGGAAGGCCCACACCCCAGTATCACGGCTTGAACACTCTCTAGCATCTAGGGATATCATGGGAGTACACAGTCTGCTGACTGGCTCTTAGCTACCAACGTTGGAAGAAACGAGAAACAGCTTTTTCTTCTTTGCTTTCACCTTGTCATAGTGCCATACTGAGTGCTGGAGCTTGAAGCAAAAGGAGAAATTGGGAATACTTCCCCTGGCTTTATTAAAAATAGATTTTATTCATCATGGATTTTTGGCATGTGTTTTGATTTTACAAAATATTGCATTAAAATATTTATCTTACTTACTTCGTTTTTTGGTGCCCAAAGCAAATGCCTCACTTACCTCACCCTATTCCTGACATTGCTCTGTCACCTCACTGCTCCCACCTTCCATCTTAACCTGAAAATGGAAGCAGATCCAGGCAGGGTGGTTGCGATGCTTGCAGTTGAGATAAGAAAGGAAGAAGAGCCCAAAGCATCTCCCATGTGCCAGGTACTATGCTAGGTATCTCAGGTACATTCTTTTTGTCCTTACCTATGAGGAAGGTATACTAATCTCCAGCTGAGGAAGCAGAGGCTTCGAGAACATTCTTCCCACTTTCCTCCATCTCAGGAACTGGCCTTGCAAGCTATCTGGCACTCAACACAGAAACCTGGGAGTTGTCCATAATCCCCCCTCTCCATCCCATTGAATCCATCACCAATACTTGTAACTGTTCATCTACATAGTAAGTGGGGGATCAAAAGATGTTCTGTTTGATGACAATCTCCACACTCTTTTTGCTTTATCTGCCCCCTCTCCAAGGAAAGTCAGGATCACTGCATTGTTTTAATAGCCAAGTCCTGCACTGGCCAGTCGAGGAAGAGGTTAAATTATTTCCAAGTGCTGACTGTTTTACAAATTTACTCAGTACAAGTGAGTGTGATCTTGAATGTAAGCTCTACCTCTGGCCCAGGACATTGCTCTGAGCACCAGATTCCAGCTGCCTGGTGTCCCCACTTGCATATCTCATGCACATCTCAAACTAACACATCCAAAACAAGATTCTTGATATCCCTTCTCCTCAAACCCTGCTTCTCTCCGGTTTCCTCCACCTCAGGACCTGGCACCATCCACCACTGGGTACTCAGGCCAGAAACCTGGCAGTTGTCTTTGACACCTCTCCCCACTTCCCCATCTAAACCATGGCCAACACCTGTCCATTTAAATAGGAAAACAATACCAACAACAACACTGACTAAAGCATTCACTACCTGCCAGGTACTCTTATGATGCATAGAGAACATTGTTAACTCACTCAATTTTCATAACAACTCTATGAAATGATTCTGTTACAGAGAAGCTCATTTCCCAACGGTCATACAGCTACTTAGAGGGGGAATCAGTATCCTAACTTAAGTCATCTGGCTTTAGAACACACACTCTTAACCACGATGCCCTGTCTACAAAATAATCCCAAATCCATTCACCTTCTCGGTTTTCCATTGCCCCATCTTAGTCCAAGCCACCATCACTACTCATTCAGGCAACTGCAAAAGCCTCCTAAATGGTCACCTTGATTCTACTTCTACTTCATTTCCACACACCAGATCTTCATGAAGCAGCCAATATGGTCTTTTTAAAGTTTATGTCGGATCATGTCATTTCCTCTGCCAAAGCCTTTAGAACCTTTCCACTACTTTCTGAGTGAAATTCAAACTCCTCAGTGTGGGCTACAACCCCCTATGAGGACAGGCTCTTCCTAGATTTTCTCACTTCCTATCTTTCTAGCCCACTAGCCTTCTTGCACTCCCCTGGACCTAGCACATTCTTTCCTGCAATGCGTTCTTCCTCCCCTGGCTGGTCTATCTGTTCCTCTATATGTCCCAGGCTACTTTCCTGACCCCCTCAGCCTAAAATAGGTCTCCATATTACTCTCTCTTAGCACCCTCTTCTTTTCCTTCATAGCAACCTTAAAATTTGTAACTCTACATTCGTGTTTTTACTTGTTTATTGCTTGTAAGCCCCAAGAGGCACAATCAAAGTCTGTTTTATCCACCATCTTACTCCCTGCCCCTACCCCAGAACCTGGAATATAAACAGCGCAATTATTTGTTCGGTGAATAAATTAATCCTGGGGTAGCTCTTTTAAAGACTTCTACAAGTTAACTGAAGAAGGCACTTAAGTAATTAACATCATTGATTCTTAAAAAGAAAATACATATGTATGTATGTATGTATTATATATTTTTATTTCCAACATGTGAACAAAAATTATTAAACCAAATATTCAATCTTTGGAGAAGACACAGAAGGAAACAATAAAAGGAAATCTCTAAAGAGTTTTTTTTTTTAAGTTTTAGACAGTACCTAGGTTTTTAAAAAGTTCTTGTGTTGGGATGACTATCAATCCCAATAAGACGAGGATCAAACTCTCAACTGTTCTTATTTAATCCCGATACATAGTGGTGTTCCATAAATATCTATTAATGATAAGCGATGGGCGATTTCGATGACATGTCTTTTGAGTACGTATTTCTCTTCATAACTTAGTTAGAGATTGATTTTCCCACTGGTGCCAAATCTCTTATCAGGAAACAGCGAACCATCCATTGCACATGATTTTCTACGGTTCTGCTGTGTCACATATGTTTTAGGAATAAAGACAGATTCTTTATGTCTCTGTACAATAGGTAATTATTTGGCTTGAGATTAAGGTACCTGTTCTTTAGGATTCCAATACTTCTAAAAAAGAAAATGAATGCATCCAAAACATGGAATATGAAGTGCGAGAAAAACTACAAATCATGTATCTGATAAGGGAGTTGTATCTAGAATACGCGAAGAATTCAATAATAAGGAGACAACACGATTTAAAAATATACAAAGAATATGAGGACATTTCTCCAAAATAGATAGAAAAATAGCCAATAAACACATGAAAAGATGCTCAACATCCTTGGCCACAAGGGAAATGCAAACCTAAAACCACAACAAGAGATCACTTCATATCCATTAGAATAGTAATAATCCAGAAATTATTGGAGAGGATGTAGAGAAACTGGAATCCTTATACAATGCTGAGGGGAATGTAAAATAGTGTAGTATGCTAAAAAACAGTCTGGCAGTTCCTCAGAATGTTAAATATGAAGTTACCATATGACAAAGCAATTTTACTCCTAGATATATACCTAAGAGAAATGAAAATATATGTCCACACAAAAACCTGCACACAAATATTCACAGCAGCACTGTGCATCACAGCCAAAGCTGGAGCGACCCAAACATTCATCAACTAATGAATGGAAAATAAAGTATTGTATACCCACGTAATGGAATATTATTCAGCAGTAAAAAGAAATGAAGTACTGATACATGCTACAACATGAATAAACCTTGAAAATGTTAAGTGACAAAAAGCCAGCCACAAAAGACCACACATTGTATGATTCCATAGATATGAAATGTCCACAACAGGCAAATTCATAGAGACTGAAAGAAGATCCGTGGCTGCCTCAGGCTGGGGAGAGAATGAGGCACCAGTGGTAATCAGTACCAGGTTTCTTTTGGAGGTGATACGAATGATCTAAAATTAGATGGTGATGGTTACATAACTCTATGAAGAATTTCAGTTCACTTGAAATGAGTGAATTGCATTGGTATGTGAATTATATCTCAATATAGCTGTTATAAAACGGATGGAATACAGTTTTTACAACACTTTAAAACTGGACCTATGCTTGGCATTTACAAGGGTAGGTGTGGCTTAACTAAAGAGTATCTATAAATTACTTTCAAGCACGGTAATGAATTTTAGATGAAACTTCCCCATAAAGAATTCATGGTCTCCCTCGCTTCTCATAAGTCCTAGTCTCATATCTTTGTCCTTGTTTAGAGACAGACTTGAAATCACAGGGCCAGGTTTCTAGAATGCTAACGTGGGACAAGATGAAGAGATGATGACTTTAGAGGAAGGAAGCTAAGATCTAGAGAGAGTAAATATCTTTTCCAAGATCATAAAGATAAGGAGAAGGAGAATCAGAGCTTTCCAGACCAAAGCTGTATTGTTTTTTTGTTTTTTTTTTTTGCAGTACGCGGGCCTCTCACTGTTGTGGCCCCTCAGGTTGTGGAGCACAGGCTCCAGACGCGCAGGCTCAGCGGCCATGGCTCACGGGCCCAGCCGCTCCGCGGCATGTGGGATCTTCCCGGACCGGGGCACGAACCCGTGTCCCCTGCATCGGCAGGTGGACTCCCAACCACTGCGCCACCAGGGAAGCCCCCAAAGCTGTATTCTTATTTTTCAGCGGCACCACACAGAATGGAGAGTCATGAGTGGCATTTTCCAAAGTGGCCCCATTAGATTTGGGTCTCTAACATCAAGAGTTAGGCCTTCACCGACATTGGGCTCCTCGGCTGGTCACCTCCATTACTCAGGTCCTAAGTAGAGATGGAGGCAAATGGGGTGTTCAACCTGACTTTGAACTCTCTCTTCCACCTACTTGGCAAAACCCTTCTGTTCCCACGTTCTCTTCTTCCTCACACCCCTGCTTTTGAGACCCCGAGAGATCTCACCCAGCTGGGGGCTTCAGTGACACCACATGCTCTTCTGTCTGTGAGGAACGTGAACTCAAAAATGATTTTGTTTCTCAGTGTCGTTGAGAGTTGATGACGCAGCGTAACTTCAGTTAAATCATTACTCTTGATTCAATTTAAACACTGGTATGAACACAATACTTCAAAAAATAATCAGACCAGTCAATCCGTTTAGATAAGAATTTTGACCCCAAAAGTTAATTTTTTACTTCTATATTCCTCTGCTACCTGTCCCTTGCAATTTTCCTCTATTTCAGAGAGTCTGAACTGCCTAAGAGAAGTCTGGCTCCCTTCCAAGGGTATATTTTATTAATAGGCCATGAAGAGAACTGTATTCTGAGAGTCAGTGAAATACAGGATTGATTTTTACTGTTCCATTTTGTCTGGCTGATGAGAAGAAATGGCCGTGCTAGGCCTGGGCTGGAGAACTCGGGGACACTGTTTTGACATCACTATTACTGCTCCACTCTCTGAAATATATTTTTAAAGCATTTTATCAGCAGCTTCACTGAATTTCTCTGCAAACTATTATCTTCTCACATAAGTCAGTAAGAAAGAAAGCACATGGTCCTTTTAGACTCTCAGAGCAAGTCATTTAAAAATAAGTTGAGGGCTTCCCTGGTG